AATAAAGTGATGTGGAGGAAGAAAACAGATTGTGAATCTATGGATTTAGTGAGAGCTAGTATTCACAGCATGCTGTAACAACACAGTAACGCCTTACTGATGAGTGTTTGCATGCCAAAGTAGGGTTTCCCATCTAACAGGAGGTGTTACCTTAAAGTACATATGAGAAAATTGTTATTGATCATGTTTTCTTTTACAAGAACTAATGCTGAACCAACAGGCTATGGAGTGAACCTGGGTTTCAATAATGAAGAACTGTGTTTCGGTGACTGGAAAATTTAGAAATGGATTTAATATAATCCAGACATTATTTAATTGACAAAATGGGGGCAATATCAATTTCTGCTGCAAAGACTCTTGCATTGATCAAATTAGATAGCAGATGACACATGGAAGTCACTTGGCTTGGCTAGTGGAATACAGCCCACGGATATCGTTGGCTGATCTATTATTATTATTTTCCTTAGAACAGACATCCTCACAGAAAGGCTTTAAATTACTATTCTCTTGCAATGTTACTGAGGTCAATTCTGGTCAAATAAATTGAAAGAGGTGGTTTGTGAGTAGAGTACAAATGGTTTAAACGGTTTTGTGATTTTCATAGTTTTGAGTAGATACTAGCAATTTTGGACTCTAACATCTAGTGCTTTAATGTGCTATATTAAAAAAAAAACCCGCATATTTAAACATTTTATAGTCTTTATTTTGGTCAGCACAGAATCAACTTCAATGAGGAGTCTCCATTTGCCTGTGAGTACTCATAAAGAAAAATAACTTAAAATTTAGTTGAAGAAGATATTTTAAAAGTCTTTTTATTATAATATAGTAAATATATTTCAAACAGTTTTATCGGAAAGCTGTCATGGAGCTGCCATGCTAGCAAATCAGGCAAGGCTTTCTGGTCTCAGTGGCTTTCTCGAATAAATGTTTAATTAGTCTTCTGATCAGATGGTGTTGTGTGAGATGTACCATTTTATAATCATCTGTATTGATAATATTAGGATTATTTTGAACATTCATCTTCCATTATTAAAGTGCTCTGCCTTTCCCACCAAAGTTATAGTTCTTATAAAAAGGGTTGGTACCAAACATTCTTTTGATGTTGCTGGTCAGAGTCATTTAAAAAGATAGTTTATTAGTATGTTTTAAGAAAGTAGTTGCTCTCCCATGCTCATGGATGGGTAGGATTAACATATAAATAGCCATCTTACCAAAAGCAATCTACAGATTCAGTGGAATGCCCATCAAAATTTAAACACAATTCTTCACAGATCTTGAAGTAACAATTTTCAATTTCATACAGAAAAACAAAAAACAAAAAACAAAAAACTCCAGGATAGATAAAACAATCCTGACTAATAAAAGAACTTTTGGAGATATCACTATCCCTGAGTTCAAGCTGTACTAAAAAGTAATAGTAATAAAAACTGCATTGTATTTGTATAGAAACAGACAGATTGATCAATGGAACCAAATTGAAGACCCAGAAATAAGCCCACATACCTATGGACACCTGATTTTTGACAAAGAAGTCAAAACTACACCATGGAAAAAGGCAGAACATTTTCAACAAATGATGCTTGCCTAACTGGATATCTGCATGTAGAAGAATGCAAATAGATTCATATTTATCACTGCACAAACTCAAGTTTAAGTGTATCAAAACCTCAACGTAAAGCCAGATACGCTAAATCTAATAGAACAAAAAGTGTGGAATAGCCTTGAACTTGTCGGTACGGGAGACAACTTCCTAAAAAGAACCCAATGCCTCAGGTATTAAGGTCAACAATTAATAACTGGGACCTCCTGCAATTGAAAAACTTCTGTAAGTTCAATAACCCTGTCAATAGGACAAAACAACAGCCAATAGATTGGAAAAGTATTTTTACCCATCCTACATCTGACAGAGAGCTAATATCCAAAATATGTAAAGAACTTAAGAAGTTAGGCACCAACAAACCAAATAACCCAATTTAAAAATGGGCACCAAGTTAAACAGAAAATTCTCAACAGAGGAATCTCAAATGGCTGGGAAGCATTAAAAAAATGGTCAAAGTCTTTAGTCATCAGGGAAACACATATCAAAATGACTGAGATTCCACCTCACTCTCATCAGATCAAAAACTCAAGGGACAACACACTGTAGAGGTTATCGAACAAGGGAAACACTCTGACACTGCTGATAGGAGTTCAAATTTGCACAACCACTGTGAAAAGATGATTGGGAATCGTTCTACTTCAATACCCAGCTATACCACTCCTGAGCGTATAGCCAGAAGATGCTATACCACCCCAAGGACACTTGCCCAACTATGTACATAGGAGTTTTATTTGTAATAGCCAGAAAATGAAAACAATCTGGATGTCCTTCAACTGAAGAGTGGATAAACAAATTGTGGTTCATTTACACAATGGAATACTACTCAGACATTTAAAAGAAGTATATGCATAAATTTTTCAGGCAAATGGATGGAACTAGAAAATATCATCCTGAGTGAGGCAACCCAGACTCAAAATGACATGCATGGCATATTCTCATTTATAAGTGGATATTATTCATAAAGTACAGGATAACCACACTATAATCAACAGATCCAAAGAAGCCATATAACAAGGAGGGTCCAAGGGAGGATGATTGAATCTTTCTCAGAAGAGGAAATAGATATTAGAGGTGAGTGGAAGGAGGGGAATGGATGGGAGAGGGTGTTGGGAATGGAGAGGAGCATGGAATCAGATATATAGGATGTGCCAGATACCTGGGATGGGGTGGGGCAGGGGTTCTGTATCAGTGACTCTAGCTGAGAGTCCTAGCAGTAGGGCATATGGATCTGGGAGTGACCACTTCTCGTGGGCAGGCAGGACTTTTGGTGGAGAGATAAGGACAAGAAACCACCACATAACCTTAGTCCCAAAGTGTATCCTGGCTATAAGACATACAGGGACAAAGATAAACAGAAAGGGAGGGAATAACTAGCCAATGACTGTCCAAATTTGAGACCTATCCCTTGGGGAGGAACCAAATCCCTGACACTATTGATATTCTGTTATGCTTGCAGACAGAACCTAGCATAAGTGTCCTCTGAGAAGTTCCACCCAGCAGCCAATGGAAAGAGATGCAGAGACTCACACCCAGTGATTAGATAGAGTTCAAAGAGTCTCATGATCAAGGACTGAGTGTCAGACCCTTATCTCCTTTACTTTATTGAATTTTTGTATCATTGATCTGACATATACTATCCCTACTGTATAGGGTCAGGTATTAAGATCAAGGCAGATTCAATGCTCTACCCAAGATATTTTACAAATAAGTGGTTGAGAAATGGGTAGATTTATGTGAAATATCCAGGAGCTCCTAACCATGTAATTTAATGCACCTGTCTATCAAACACAAACCATGTGATTATGATATTGTTTTTAGGACACATTTGAAAAAGATTTAGAAACACCGGGAAAATTTCTCAGGAAAACTTTTCAGAAATACGTGCAGTGAGCTGTGTACATGAACAGATGGTGTTTTCTAAACAAACATGCACTCATTATCTTGAAGATATATAGATTTTGTATAAAATTAATAAACTACTTTATTTCACTGTTTACTCCTTAGAAATGTTTTACTGCATTTTTGTTTAGCATATTTTCCTTTTCAGTTTCTCTTTTCGACCTTGCTGGGAAAGTCTCAGTGGATAAAGTATTTGCTGTGTAAGCATTAGGACCTGAGTTCAGATCCCCAGCACCCACACAAAAGCTGTGAACATCAGCCAGTACCTGTAATTGTAGAGCTGGGAGATGAAGGCAGAAGTCTTTCCAGGACCTTCTGGTCAAACAGTCTGGGCAATCAGAGAGCTTCAAGTTCAGTAAGCAATCTTGTCTTAAGAAAGTAAGATGGAAGTCGGTAAAGGAAGACACCTCGTGTTGAATCCTGGTCTTTAGACGCTCATGTATGGGTGCATGGACCTGCATATACACATACATATACACATACACATATACCACATGCCCACCCTAACACATAGAGTGCTTTATAAATAGTTTCAAGCAAGATCTAATTTAATATGAAATATCTTTCAATGTATATGTTTTTTGCATGTTATACATGAAAAAAAGAAAAGGTGAAAATATAAATGGCTTGCTAGGTTGCTCAAAGAAGTAAAGATACCTACACCTAAGCCTCATGACATGGGTTCAATCCTTGAGATCCGCAGATATATGGGGAGAGCCAAGTCCTATTCCTCATATATTATTACCTAAGATAGATACCATAATAATATTTCAAGATCCAAAAGATAGTACACAGAATGTACATTCCATTAAATCAATTGCTTGTCCATACAGTAACCTCTACACCTTTGGAGCTGTCAAGACATTTGTCTTCTCTTCCAGTACTTTGCCTTACATGATAGCTATAAACAGTGTGTCTCCTCCTCCATGTCCCAACATGTCAACTTTCAAACTTGGTTTGATCATTGTGATTTAGAGAAAACAACTAAAATGCATGCCACACAACAACATAATATGGTCACATGTATATGTGTCCTATGTGATAATTAGAATGATATTTTACCCATTGGTGTAGACATGAGGATTAGTAAAATTCCACTTTTTCTGTTACTGGTACTATGAAGAAGGGATTTTGATTTGCCATCTAAAAACTGGATAGGGAAGAAAAGTATTTTATATCATGGAAGACTCATAAAAGAATGACTAACTTAATACTGGGTATTTTGATTAAATTGTGCCTGCCTGTGGATTAGTACTGTTTTTCATTTTCCTTAGCCCTGTAGCTCACAACCTCTTTCATTAATCCAGTGAACTAGACTAGAGTTCTTTCTAACCTAGACCTTATTCTTACATCAGAACTGTAAGCAAGAAGATTCTGTGGGCTTGGCCTATCAGAGTGGACCTTGAAGGTTCTTGAAGGTTCTAATTTGTGATGCTCCAAACATAGTATGGTCCTCTAACACTCAAGTAGTCTCTGTCCACCTGCCTTATAAGATGTCAAGATGCCTGTGGATTCTCTTCCAACTGCTATTTTGGCTCACATGATATCTGTTAACAATGTGCCTCCTCCTCCACTTCGCAGTATACCACGTAAGTGACACTTTTATGAAGGTCCCATGCCTTCATTATTGTTTCATATGGTTCTTGATCCATTGTGAGCAGTGGGGATTTGAGAGTCAGTGGAAACACAGAGTTACTTACTTAAAGCCTAGTAGTAATGGAAAAGCATAGTTGTGCACTCCTGGCTTTACTATATGTGGCTATTTCAACAATTTATGTTCAAAATACTGTTTTCTTTGAAAATGGGGATCTTGATAAGATCTTGGAGCTTCAACGATGTTCCTCTTCCATATAAGTATGAAAATACCTCAAAGGAAGAGGGGAAGTAGAAACCTTGTAAGAATTCAGAGGACTATAGACAACTGTTTCTGGAAAACCTTGTCATGTTTATCATGAGTTAGTCCTACTGCTCTGAGTGTATTTTCTATAAGGATTTCTTACTTTAAATTTAAAAAGAGAAAAGTAAATCCATTATTCTGACTGAAATATTTTCCTATTTTGCTTTCATGTCCTTGATTTTCATTTATCAGGTCATAGGAATTATAGAGAATTAAATATTTTGAAAATTATACTTTGAACAGTATTTATTCTTTGTAGTCAGTCAATGTAAGCCCAAGATGTTGTACTGTGGTACTATATAGGGCTATGGTCATACAGTTCTTAACATGTGTTTGGAAAATACTCACTAGTAACCTACAATAGTGTCTTTGTTGAAATCTAACAACAGCTTTAGGAAACATAAGTAATACTTGTGACTCGAAGCTGAGTAAAAAATTAACTCTCAGATTTTTTTTCTATCTTCTCATAAGAGTTAATTTCTAGATAAAGTTTAAAATTTCATTTTTATCATTTCCAGAGAGAATATACAAAACGCAGGGGCTGATGTCTTTTGAAGAAGTATAATATATATTTTTGTGTATATAATATATATCTAGATATACATAAAATATTAAATAGTTATACAAATTATAATTATTAATTGTTATTTTGTATATCTATTCCTATAGTAAAAATATTTTTATATATTCAAATTTTTCTATTTCTATTTAAGTGAAAATAGGTATTCAGATAATTTTGTTTCTAAACCACTACTGTCAGCTTTTATTTGTGGAAAAATAAATTACTCCAAGATTTTTTTTTATCAGCTCAGGAAGTATAATAGCTGGGAGTTAAAAGATCAAATTAATTTAGAATCAATGGGATGAGATGTGTGCTATCCTCTGCAGTCTCTTCCAAGGACACTTGACTTCTGTGAAGTGATTAAGAGATAAGAAATCGGCAGTAATTTAGATCTCAGAGCTGAATGGAGCACAGTGGAGAGCAGCAGACAGCAGCATTCCTGGTATTCTCTGTAGTGGTTCTTAGTGGATGCTCTGTGGCCGAGTCTGCCCTTTGGAGATATGTCCTACTTGCTTAATGGCTCGGTCTTTGTGTTAGTAACTCCAGCAAGCCTACAGTTTTCCCTGGCACACTTTATGGTCACAGCTGAAACAATATTTTCATGAAAGCTGAGAGTGGAAATTCTTTGTAGAGTAACTCAACCTGTTTCATGTGGGAGCAAAAAAAGTACAATGTCTATAATTAGGGATGCTTGGTTAAATACCTAGCACATCTAGCCACTATACACACCTTTGTTTGCTTTGAATTTGGCCAGTAAAATTAGATATAGGAATCCATGCTTGCTTTCTTTTTATTTACATGTGAATAACATTTTAGAAGATTTACATGTGAATAACTGTTACTGAACACTATATAGGGATAATTTATAAGGAGTTTTTCTGTTATGCTTTTTCATTCATTTCTGAAAACAAACAAACAAACAAATAAACAAAAGACTATGTGAAGTCTGTGGTAGGCAGAATAACACCCAGTAATGATATCTGCATTCTGAATTCCAGAAACTATGAATATGCTAGGATGCTGAAAAGGCAAGGGGTTGTTATGGCTACAGCTAGAATCAAGGCAGCTAAATTAGCTGCTCTTTGCAGACACAAAAGTGCATACTGAAACCTTAAGACTTGTCAGAGAAAGGAGGAGATGAGAAAAAGACTTGACTGACCACAGCCAGCTTTGGAGATGAGGGAAGACATAAGACAGAGAGGCATCTGGGCAGTGTCAACAAGCTAGAAAAGAGATAAATCCAACCCCTAATGTCTCAGGAGTAATACAATCCTGCTGAGATCTTTATGCTAGCACGTGACCTACTTCTGACTTGTGATTTCCAGAGCTGTAACACATCACATTGATGTTTCAGAAATGTTTCTGGTAATTGCTTACAAGGACAAGAAGAAAAAGCATACAAGCTCTCTCTTACAATTAAAGGTAAAGAGGCTTACATAGCATAGTAGGAGTCACAATGGGGAAGGGGTCGATGCCCCTCAGAGTGTCCTCTGTGGTATAAATGAACCCTAAGCATAAAAACGACAGCATTAAATTCTGTAGAGACATCAATTGCGTTTTGTCTGCTAAGCTCCTCTCAATTCAAAGGACTCCGAATATCACAGCTCTGGTTCTCCTTGCTTGTGAAATTATGACTCCCAGACAGTGCATGCAAACCAGCCTCCTGAGTTGGTTTCTGGCTTAGTTTTTGTTTCTTTTTGGAACTTTGAACTCTCCCCTCTCTCTAATCTTCTGCTGGTGATTCAGAATTCTTCCGCAGCTTGATAAGCATAGGAAAACGAGATTTTTCTCAAAAGCAGTCTTTTCACATTTTATTCTAGACAAGAATTATTTCAAAGGCCTTGCAGTTAGAGGAGTATATTTAGTGGTTTTTCCACCTGCATGAAATTGCAGATGTTGGAAGCACTCACTTTGACCTACTATTACAACTGGATCTCTTGAAGCAAAAGAGGAAAGAGAAGCCATGCTAATGGAACACAGGAGGCTGCCTTCTCCCTTGCCTTGCAGTTAGGAGTTTGGTCTAGTGATTTTTGTTTTTGTTAATATGATTCTCCTCCATTTCACTCCTATTTCTTAGGCTTATCTTTCTGAAGAAAGTTTTAAAAATAATTTGCATGTTTATTTTTAGCTCTTCTGGGAGGATTTAGTGCAGCAGTGCTCTGCTTTGCCAGTATCAAAACCACTTAAAGTTCACAAGACATTAGCAGGTTTATGTTACTGGTTCTTGCCTATTAGGATACAGAAGGAAAATAAAAGAGTTTGAGACCCCAGACATTTTAGGGAACCCAGAGATGGTACTCTTAAGTGAATGGTTTTCTATGCTCTTTTCGTCTTATACTGGGCGTTTACTGAAAGCCTGGAAATACCACATTGCCATTCCTAAGACTTCAAGGGAATTTTCTGTAATTTGAGAGTTCTTTAACAGCTAAACATTAAAAGAGTCTCAAAACATGTATTGAGAAGAGTGAGTGGGAATGATTTTAATATCTTAAACCCTTTAAATCTCTTGAGGCACAGACTGGGGTCAGGAGGGGCAGAAGCAGTAGGGCCAGTCAGTAAAGAAGAAAATCATAGAAATATATTATAATGATTAGGCAGCATCAAAAAGAAAATTGAATGTAAAAGCAGCTAGAAGGAGAACAGAAATTCCAAGAAGACAGAAAAAGAAAAGATAAGGTTGGTTACTTATGTGTTTCTTTGTGCTTGAAAAACAGCATTGGCAACACCAGGAGACATTGAAAGATTTTTAAAATTATTTTTCAGAGTAAAAAAAAAATCACTTTTTGTTGTTAATAGCATGGATGAAATTTGGACGTTTCATTGGAAGAGAAAAACAAAAAAGGAAGCTGGACAGTGTGGCACAGGCCTCTCTGTAATCCCAGCTGGAATCCTTGAATTCCAGGCAGAAGGCAGAATGATTTGGCTGGGATAACCACCAAAACTTTGTTAAAAAAAAATCATTTCTAAAAAAATTAAAATTGTCACATCTATCTCAATATATGCACAATTTTGTTAGACAATCTTGAGTGAATTTTAATATAAATGTTCAGTTTTTTGAGAATTTCATGTTGGAATATTGATTTTATATAATTTCTCCAACTCCTCATGTCCCCCTCATCCCATTTCAAATTCATGATTCATGACCTCTTCTTAATTATTATTGTTGTTTTATATCACACACACACACACACATACACACACACACAGCCACAATGATAAAAAACCAATAAACAAACCTAGTGATTCCATTTGGTAGTGTTCAGATGTACTTATGCTTAGGGCCGAGCACTTTGATTGATTATCTTATCGTAGGGCTCATCCTCTGGATTCATTCTATCTTGGCAGGCATTGATTGCCTATAGCTCTTCACCTGGGGTTGTGGCCTTGAGACATTCTTCTACCTTGCCCTGTGTTATGCAGATCTTGTTTAGGCAGCCATATTGATGAGGTTTCTTGGTTGCAGCTTCTCTATACAAAAGACTCTATCTTGCAGCACACATACTAGTTCTTTGACTCTTAGAGTCTTTCCATTTCCACTTCCTTGATGTTCACTGAGCCTTGAGTATATAGGTCACGTTGGAAATACATCTTCTGGGCTTGGACATATAATGAGCACTTACTCTCTGCATTTGATCAGTTGTGGACCTCTGTAGTCATCTTCCCCTTTTTCAAAGAGCGAAAAGATTCTTGATGAGTGAAAGGTACTCTTATCTGATGGTATAAAGATTGGCTTTTATAAATTAAATTTCATGAATTTCAACTTGAGCACAATCATACCTGAACAGGAAGTGGCAAAGAAAATAAAACTACTTGCAAGTCATATGTGTCTACTAGATGCCGGGTTGGGTCTCCCTGAGGTATCCAACTGTTGTGTCCTCAGTCTACCTCAGAAATGAGAATTTTGTTATCAGTAGTGTCAGTCCCTCAGCCAAGAGGGTCCAGCCTCTGTCACTCAACTAACCTCTGGTCTTCCTTCCAAACTGTAAGGGGAATCATATACTTTGTAAAATTGTTAAAGAAATTCGGTCACATTAATTTTGGTCACATTAATACTCAGGAGCTTAAGGTTCTGTTCTCCAAATCTTAGCTGACAATTCATTTCCTCTAAGCTAGAATTTATATCTTCTATG